GATTTCGAGAATTTGAGAGCAATATTCTGCCAGAAAACGTTACTATTGGTCCTACTTGCTGGAATGATTTTTTTCGGCTTAAGTAAAACGGTAACAAATTTTGGCTGGAAATGTTCCTTGATTTAGAAGGAAATGTGCAGGGACGCTGTGCAAGCAATAATTGTTCATTGATTTTGGTTTAACTGTGGTAAGATTTTTTGATGTGGCTGCATTTTTTAGCTGTGATACTTGGGCATCTGCTGTGATAATTGGTTTTTATAGCTACTTCCAATACTGGCTACACTTTAGGATATTGCTCAGATACTAAAGCAAAACACACAGCTCCTCCAATTTGATCATCTTCAGAGTGACGCTGCAACGCTGAGGGTGACCTTCCTTGCAACTTCCTGAGTCTTGAGTTTCTGGTACTTGAAGACAGTTGCGGTGTTTGTCCACAAGCAGGTAGATGACTCGCAGTTAGACTTGTGTTGACTTCTCACGGTAAACAATGGATTCTACAACGGAACGTCCAGAAAGCATGCAGGCAAGAAGCGGGGACGTGCTTTTCTCAGAAATCGTTGGTCATTAAACAGTCGATATAGCGAATGCCATCGCTTCCTCATTTTACCTGCTCCGTTAAGCATTCGTAATGTCGGAAAGAAAAGTAAACAGTTTTTTCAAAACTTCGGATCAAAGTGCAAGCAATGTGAAATGGCGAGCCACACATCAACTGCAAATGACGACATCGAAGGGCGTCGCCGTCATCTGACGGACCTCTTTTTGTACCTCTTTTGCTGGCTAAACCTCGCTAGTGCTTCAGAGCTGATAGCTGATGTGAACTCGTACCAAACAACTCTTGATAAATTCCGCAGTTCGTTTTAATGCCAATTCTGTGCTGCCAATGATTTATCAGAGGGATGGCGGCAGAGTTGGACAATTTTTAAACGATGGCCCTTGGTTTCTATTCGAGAGGTTCACTTTTTGAAAAAATACAGTCTAAAAAGAAATATGGAGTTAAATATCACTTATCTGCTCACAAATACCAGATTTCACGACCTCTTGCACTATCACCTATTCGTAGTTGCCTGGAAATGAGAGGGGAGGTGGAAGTCATTGAAGCGCATCATGTGTCTATGGTATTTGAGCATCAGCATCAATTAGTTAATCCAATTTTCCTTCATTCATTCATGCAATTAAATTCATCATAAATTGGTTTTCAATTCACTCACTCTTGTTACGGCGACCCCGCTATCTTGTTATAAATTTTCACACTGTTTCTCCTATTCGTTGAATCCATATTATCTGAATGTTTCCTTTAAATGACCTTTAAATTCAATACTTTAACATTGGATTTACTATAGGAATGCGTGTCGCTCATCGACTTGCCTCCTTGGTCGAAAACTTCGTGGTTCATACTAATTCTTCATGGTAGTAGACAAGGGAAATACTCTCCTGCACTACAACTCATTTTGGCGCGCGATCACAAGTCAAAAGTAAGATTTACTTCGAGCAGAGCAGAAATTATATTTTGCAAATGAATGTAATTACATATGGAAATTTCCCATGAATTGTGTTGTTTGAACAATGAACATATGAATATTCACTCTTTCGCCTAAAATATGCAAAATCGAAATCGCCCAAAACATGCAAGTACTTTTTCAGATAATTTCACATACTCGATTTTCAACGCAGCATTGGTATGGAGTTCCTCGTCCTGTAAACCTGCTTGTCACATTACTCAAGATTGAGACAGTTTGTGTGAAACATGTGGGAAAAACTACAAAACCTGAAAACTACGGCTCACTTGACGAGGTGAGAGGAAGCAAGGAGGATTCTGTTTGTCACTGTCACTGCTTGTCGATGCAAATCGCTAAGTCATCTAACTGATGCCATCACAAGGTACATAAAGAACGGCTGGTGATATTACGGTAACGCCTTCCATGCAGCCCAGATGTGAATTATTGCGTTTTTTCGTCTTCGTTCGAAACGAGTGGGGAGCGGGTTCGCGACAGTCACAGAACACGCAGTCCAAAGAAATCCGTGAACTGTACTTTCCAACTGTTTAAACTTGTTCAAAAAAAATTAAGGCTAAAATAGCCACGGCTGATTGTGGATGACAGCGTTGACTGGAACAACAGATGAATGCAATGGTTGGCAAAGTGCAAAGTGTTGTTCAAGTTGAGGAGGCTGTGCCTTGGCTGGCTAACAAGTGCTGAAAGACTTCAGCCAATCCTGCATTCAACC